TCCTTGGCGCTGTGACCCTTGATGTGGCAGTAGAAGCACAGGTTCCTGTCCCTGTGGAGCTTCCGATCGGCCTCGTTGAGAACGGCTCCTAGTTCCCATTTCCTTCCTACCGATGTGGAGGCGAAGGTTGATGCGACGGCAGCGGCGTCGATATCCATTGGTTCGCCATAGTCCCTGGTGTCTGTGACGATGAGAGCCCCCTGCTTGGCTGCATCGGCGTTTCGGACTTCGTCGTACCAGGCCTTCATGGTGTTGGGTCGATCCCTAGCGACCCTGGTTGCGAGCGCAAAATACAGCTCCTTCGGGAGTCCTTTGACGAAGTTGGCATGGAGAGTGTGGTAGTCATTCTCAACGCGGTTGGTGCCATTGACCTCGGCGTCCTTGAGCTGAGCCTTTGATGCTAGCTGCTCGAAGCGGGTGACGTAGTTACCGAGGGAGAGTGCCGTTTTCCTATCCCTCTGTCATTCAGGCAGTTTCATCAGGATTTGATGTGCCTTGATTCGCGTTCCGTGCTCAGGGAACACCTCTTCTAGGGCGGCGACGAAGTTTGCCCATGTGGAATAGACCTGGACTCCCCCTGCCGACTTCTCGTAGTACGTGTCCGCCCATGTCTTCCCCAGATCCTTCCTCATCAGCGCTACAGTGAAGGCGATTTTTGCTTGCACCCACTGTGGATTCAGAGATGTTTCAGATGCCTTCAAATGCAGCTGGATGGCAGAGATCACAACAGATTAAAGATGGCTTTGGGGAGCAGTGAGTACAGCCATCTTGAGGTGAGTCCTTGTTGCAGTCCATATGGTCGGAGGCTGAGGAATTGTGAGAATGCAATTGACACGCAGAATGATAAGCTCGACGCACTGCACTTATCGTTCGAATATACTAAAGTGATTGGTGTGCATCGACAATTAAACCCCCTACTCGCTGCATTGATAAAGTCATACATTGCTGGTTGCAGAACATGTTCCTCCTTCCGCTGGCTAGGTATTGCTTTGCTTGTCTTATTCCAATCGTTGTACTGCTGCCTGCACTCCTCGTTATGTTCCAGTCGGACTTCCAGCTCAGGACTGGGTTCTGCATGTTGCGCTGCACTGTGGGCCATACTTTCGACATCATCCTTGACCCCAAAACCCTCATCACCAGCATCCGGAACATTGTGAGTTGGATTGGGAGCTAGCGGTTGGACATTGACTGGATGCAACTGAATGGCTGAGTTGTGTGCTGCGAGTACAACACGTTTCCTCAGTGCGTTGTTTACCATTGTTTCCTTGCGTTTTCTTTTCTTTCCAGCCCGCTCTTGTCGTTTAGCCTTTGCTACCTCCTTCTTTCGCATCTCCTCATCAAAATTGTGTCTTTCTGCAATCAAGATTGCAAACACGAATTCGCCTGTGCCTCTAGCAGCACGACCAAAGTGCTGCCATAGTGTGTTGATGCTAAGTGGTGCCTTCCATTGAATTACAAGCTGAATTCCTGCCAGATCAAAGCCCTGTCCCAATAATGAGTGATCATAACAATCATGAACATACACTCGCATACCATGCCAAAGGCATCAGTGACGCATAGCCCAAAGAGGTCTCCATTTTTGAGTGCCATATATTCATCTGCTCTATAATCTGCTGACATTGTGGTGTGAAGGTACTTGATCTTCGTGCGAAGGTGGTCCGGGAGCCAATTGCATAAGTATTGTGTGATTGCCTCCGTCTCAAGAATGCTATTGCAGAATATGACAAATTTCGGGGGAGAGACATTGGTGGCGAAATCGTCAGGTATTACAAAATCGAGATCCTTGAATGACGAGGCAGCATGTTCCATCTTGCGGACACAGAGCGAGATTTTGGGTCGGTCATTTGATTGGATGATTTCCTTGGTATGACCTGTACATAAATGTAGGATGTCGGTGACATCCCGGAGAGTTGGCGTGGGTAGTGTAGCGGATGCGACATAGAACAGAATTGTTTTGGGTATCAAGTATCGCAGGCTGCCAATGTGCTTGTATTGCTCCCTAAATTCATTCCACTCTCAGATGCAATGTCCCTCATCGAAGACAATGTAGAGCAGCTTCGATGTGAATCCAGAATTCTGCCATAGCTCTTCACAGTATCCACCATCTTGCATAATGATCTCGGGATTGATCACGATGACACGATAGCGCCCTGCTTTGACAGCCTGTAGATTGTGTGACTATATATGAAACATTTGTCTTTCCGTTCTATTCCTTGTACTACTAGCGCCCATACTGGCGCCTGTCTTAGTGCTCACCCGCAGGTTGAACATTATGTAGCTTACATAATGGGGTCCGTGCGCACTTCGTGCCTGGTATCGTATCACTACGTTTCTTTCTTCACTAACATGACCACATAGACACGATGGTCCGTGCGCAGTCAGTACTTGTATAAGTAGTTGTACCATTAGTCGGTCGAACCCTAAGTTCGACCTGGTTATTCATTCAAGTCTCTGCTCCTCCTCGCTTGGGGTAGTGGTCATTCTCGACTTCCTTGCTCGATCTTCAGGACGATGCACTGTCCATAAGCCCTCGCTCGTCGTCTACGAGTCAGGCATCAACATAGGAGTATAGACCGTTGTATCACTGGCTTATATACATGATGAGTTCAGGGCAGGCTATGTACATTGGTCTGTGCACATCCGGCCTGTGCATTGATAGGCGCCAAGCCCCTCTGGGCCCCGATACACCTCTTTTCGGCAGTCGCATCCCGCCTGGCACTTCGGCTCAGTCACCCAACACTTCGATTTCGCCTTCGACGCTCTTCGACACCTTCGACGGTGCGCGACGCTTACTCGAAGCTCGGCACGGTCGTCCCGATGCCTCGCGCGTAGATCTCGGAGCATCTTCCGCATTCGGCGAACAATAGGGCCACTTGACGCCACTCGGCCAAGTGCGCGCATCGCTCCAAGCCACACCGACGTAGCCGGTCTTTCCCGATTAGGTATAGAACCTCGCGACATGCCTTCAACGACGGACACCGGTCCGAAGTGTCTCGCATGGTTCTCTTCATCTCCGCGTTCGGCATGACGTCACTCTACCGATGGACTTGATATGTGCCCCTCGGTGAGGCAGCTTCTTGAGGAACAATGCAAAGCCCCTTGTACCAGTGTGCCACTTTCGATAGTCGTAGCGTCCTGTGTAGTATAAAATCTGTCGTACTTCTCTCCAAAAATCAACAAGATCCGGTTCCCCCCTCGAGTTCAGAGCTCATAAGTCGAGTTCGCCCCGCGTCTAAGCCTTTAACTGCGTCACTTCGTCCCTCACTGCGTAACCTCGAAACCTCGTCCACTGTGTTTACTCGTCGATACCGTCTCGACGAACCCTTCGACTTCGACTATTGTCGAAGAAACTGCGAACCGCGTCCTAGCTAAGTCCCCCCTATCGAATTGTCTCTTTCTTCTACGATTCTTCGAAGAGCTCTCCCGAGCTTCGATCGTCTCCACTAACCATCCACAGCCTCCGAGGAGC